GGACTTAAAACCTTACTCCAGATCCTACGCAAGCAAGTGGCTTTGTTCCCAGAAACAGCCAGGCTCCCTGCTCACCTATGGCCGGGATGAATCACCGAATCTTTACCAAGAAGGGGAGCTCTCAGGACTAATGTTTTGGCAACATTTACTCACTGAATGGCTCTGAGTGGTGATTATATTTCTTAGCACACCTCTGTCCCCAGCACCTCCAAAATGAGTGTGCTAGTAAATGGTAGCTGGATAGTCAATGACATGTAAGGAAGAATTGCAAGTGAGGAAGAGTTGGTGGTCTCAAATTCCACATCCGAGTTAACCTAGGTGATTTTTTCACAATTCATTTTACTAAAAGCTCTGCCCTCAAGGGTCTGACAACAATTTTCCCAACAGGCAAATCACAGTCTGACCTGGGCCACCAATATCTTACCATGTATATTAATAGTGTTTGATAAATTTAATTTGTTCTATAGATTAAAAGGGTGATGATATGGAGATCGCATATGGGTCAGAGAGTTACTGAGTGTTGGCTGTCAAACCAAGATGATTTCTTGTTCATTCATGTAGATTTAAAAGTTCATTTCTGCTACTGGAAGCACTCACCTAACTCGGAAGACAATGTCTTTTCAGCCCTTTGCTATCACTCCTATGTCAAATTAGTTAAAGTTCCAGTGAAATGGAGGCTAATGGGGAACTTCTCTTGCATAGATTTTGTATTTATGGCTAGGAAAAAATTAGACATCCACAGAAAAAAAAGACTTAAAAGAAATTTGGCTGAACATAAGAGAAACACACTTGGAATGAAGTAAATGTTTCAACCAACTGAAAATACTTTTCTGCATTTTCATGCACTGCCATTAGTTACATCATTGCAAAAACAATGTTTGAATAAAGAAAGAGCTGGCGAAACTCTGGCAATCTCCTAGAAGCTGGCCACTATGGCATACATGTGGTGTGCAGGACGTGATTTTAGAACTAGAAGGGACTCTGGAGTTCATCAGGAGTCAGAATTCACAGACGCAGAAACTTAGGAGAGCTTCAGTTTCAATTCAATAAAATACGCTCTAAATTTAACATAAGCATAGTTACACATCAGAGTTTTAACTCTTAAAACATTTTTTTTTAAAAAGAAGTCTTCCTTCGCTCACTAATTTTCTCTGTCTTCCTTTTTTTCAGGACAACAACATGTCTCTATTGGACTCCCAAGGCTCAAGTATACCTTAGGTCGAGGTAAACTCTCAATCTGAGCTGTGGAATGGGCCACGTTGGCAACAGTGCAAATAAAAACAACTATTAGGCCAATTTTCCTTTGACAAAGAGAAATAAGTGGCGGGAACTTCTTCCTTCTCTTAGTATCTATTTCTGAAAAGGACCAGATCAAAAGGGGGCTACTTTTCTGGAGGGACAGATTTAGACTAATGCTTTCTACGTCTTTTAGATGACTTCTGTTTCTAGTTTTACTATCAAATGGACACGAATAGGAGACATCCATGTAAAAAGTGTGAAAGATTACATAATTAAAAAAAATTCTATTAGAGGTATGTAATCACAAATATTTAAAGATCTCTTACCTGTGCTAGCATATAGTAGAGCCAAGATTCTATTCCCTGCCTCTCTTCATGTCAAAGCTTGAGATCTTAAATGCAAAGATCCATATCATTTCCAGTTATTGCACAGTTTGCAGCTTTTCTTGCCTCTCCCATCTGCAAATAAACTAAAATATCAACATGCCTCACCTCACACAACCTTAAGGTTTCAGCAGTTACGTTTTGACCCAGAAACCATTTTTCTAAAATAAACAACTCTTTACTTACAGCTCATATGCAAAGGACTATAAAATTTAGCCTCACCTTCCTATTAAAGACAGAGTTGAAAAGTGCAATATTATAGCTAAATTATAGAGAAAAATATGGATATAACTGCAAAAATGGAAGGAGATTTTGGATGATTCATGCTCCTTCTGTGCAGCCATGGTTAGGTCAAATACACGTTTGTGCGAATTAGAAAAAGCTGGTCCTCACCCTACCCCCATCCCTTTGTGAGTGTGTACAGCAAGCACCAGGCCAGTTCGGCTTGCGTGCAGACTGAGTTTCAGATACCAAGTCCAGCTAGTTGTCCTTGGGCACTATTTAAACGTAAGCAACAACCCTGTGCCTTTACATTATGTTCTAGCAAGCCAAGAAAAAAATGTAAAAGAGTAGCAGCTGTTCAGAGTAATTACCTTGCACTTTTCCCAGTTTGTTCTTAGCCTATTTGTTGTATTTATTATTCCCACATTTCTGATCCTGGATGGAAGCTTCTTTATCTCCTCCTGGCCTCTATTTGAAATTCCCTAGATTTCCTTCCTGGCTAGTTAACTTTGGTGTTAACCTGATCCTGCTACTCCTTTGGTTTTGGTTCTCCTGTTGTCTCAGGTGAGAGGTTTCCCATTGCAGTCTCCTGGGCCTCACCCACAATGCCCTTTTCCCACCAGAGGAGCCTGGACATGCCCCTAAGGTAGAGCGCAGATAGGATTTAAATGAATTCTCAAAAAGTGCTTGGATTCATAGCTAGCAAAATTACATGGCATTTAACATTTGACATAAAAATGCCACTTCTAAGACTTTATCCAGAGATACACCATGGGAAACATACAAAAAGATATCTGCACAAAGCTATTCACTGAAGCATTATTTATTATAGCAAAAGATGAGACACCATCCAAATGTCCTATCTAACAAAGTTTATGGGAGGACATTGTTTTAGACTAGCCTCCTGCACGAGGCCCAGGCCCCAGTGGAACAGGCCAACCCAGGAGGGAGCTGCCTACACCAAGTGCCATGTAATCAAACTGAACTTTGAAATGGGCCGGTTTTGAAGAAACCAGGAGTTTCCACTCAACCTGAGTCTGTGTAATAAAGAAGTCTATTTAGCTCCATTAGCAAAGTAAACTCTGAAATGACCGATCTACTTTGTGTTTTCTCTTTCTTCAGCCCTTTTCTGCCTATAAAGCCAAGCTCCTCTGCTTGGCTCATCGGAACACTCATTTTGTTTTATACAATGAAGCGTTGCCTGATTCTAGAATTGCAAATAAAGGCCAATTAGAGCTGTACACTAAATTTGTTGGAATTTTGTGTTTTGGCAGTCTCAAGATCGAATAAACCAGAGTATCTCCATACAATGGAGTAACATGCAGCTGTAAAAGGAAGTGAGGAGTATTTCTGAATACTACTATGGAGTGATCTTCAGTTTACATGTTAAGTAAAAAGAGTAAAGTGCAAACCTATGTGTAGTATGCTATCTTTTACCAAAGGCAGGAACATGAATATACAGTTATGTGCCCCATAACATTTCGATCAATGATGGACCATATATACAACAGTGATCTCATAAGATTATAATACTATATTTTTATTATACCTTTCTATGTTTAGATACATAAATATTTACCATTGTGTTATAATTGTCTACAGTGTTCAATAAAGTAATTAATGTCTGTACAGGTTTGTAGCCTAGGAGCAAAAGATTATACCACATAGCCTAGGTGTGTGGTAGGCTATACCATCTAGGTTTGTGAAAGTATACTCTATCATGTTCGCATAATGACAAAATTGTCTAATGACTCCCTGGTTACCTTTGACAGAGGCTGGGAAAAACTAGCTTGTTATTCTGAAAACCCGTAAGCAAAGGGAAGGAATCAAGCTCTTACCTTGCCTTTCTGGTAAAAATTTCACCTTGCAGTCACTAAATAGCAGGTGAAAACAACAGTATTTCCTAACAGAAGAATTCCTACTAACAAATGCAGGAGGAAGAATAGAATTGAAATGTCACCATTTTTCAACTCCTGATGAAATAATGGATCTAGGCAATGGCCATCAATAACTAGATGCTAAAGTCATCTGATTAAAAACCGATGGGAACTTTGTAATAGATTAGGCTAACAACACCTGACACCACTGACCAGTTTTGACGTCAAAAAAAAAAAAAAGAAAGAAAAACAACCAGACATTTTGTGCTTCCTGATGAGTTACAATTGGAAGTACATATCACCTACAAAGTCTTTTGGCCAAGAAATAAACCAGGGTGGATCAAACTTTTAAGTCTAACAACCAGTTTTGCAGCTTTTACAGATTAAATGAAGTCAGAGATTTGCTTTGAAATGAGCCAGTGGTGGGAGGAAGTGGCTGGAGCTGGACGATGAGAGCAGGGGCCTTCATCACACCATCTCTCTTTTGTGTATGTTTTTAAATACCAAAGTGTTTTTTAAAAAATTACTTGGACTCAATAGCATTTTTCTATTTAAAGAACCACCCCAATTTCTTGCTTGCTTTAACCTGTCATACAAATTCTTCCTTGGGTTTTCACTTGCCACTTTATGTTATAATGAGGTGTGTAAACATAAGCTGGAAGACTGACTAGCTATGTGCAAGAAGGGTTGGTTAAACATTGAGATTGCCTTGCTGAGGGAAGCCTCTTAATGAATCTCATAACTTTGCAGGAACAAAGATCACATGAGCATTAGCAGTTAACTAATATCATTTTTTAGCACTATACTAAATACATATATGTATTTAATAATTACTTAATGTCTGACTCCTTGACTAGATTTTAAGTTCCAGGAGAGCTATATTTTTTACCACTGATCTCTAGTGCCTAACATGTTGCCTAGTATACTAGAAGTATCCCAAAATTATTTCTGGGATATACTATTTTATATAGTGTGTGTGTGTGTATATATATACACACACACACACATATATATGTACTATTTATGCATTTTTAGTATTTTGTTTTGCCTTTAAATTTTACATGTCAGATGAATTTTTCTTATGTCAAATCATAATTCAGCATTCTCTAGTATTAACATACCATACATAGTCTGTAAGCCATTCAAAAAAAGCATTTAAAAAATTGGACATCTCATTCTTTGAGCCATTGAGATATATTGATTTAATTTACACTCCTCTTAAGATCTCTCCCATTACTAAGGTTCTATTTTATGACAAAATCATAGTTCTAGAAGCCTGATTCTCACACCTGAAAAGACTAGATTTGGCACACGATCCTGAAGAACATAAGAGGTAAGCCTGGTGAATCTCAACACAGGTGGTCTGGGGGATGGAAAAAAGAGGCTGAAGTGCTCATGGATGGGTCTAGGATCGGGGTGTGGTACAGATTAGGCCAAGGCAAGAGGATTCAAAGAGGAAATGAGTCCATTTAGATTGAAGAAGAGAATCAGAGAGGTAGCTGACACTGACCATGAAATTTCCCTGGGAGGTACACATAGGCATAAGGAACATGAGTGTTGTAGTTGTGTAAAGAACACATTCCTGAGTCTGCATAATTGAAAATCTACCTATTTTGACTAATTTTCTCATGGGAATAAATGGAAAACAGGATATGAATTCTCAGGGCTCATAGGTCTATAACCATTAATGGCAAATTTTTGTTTTAATATTATTTTTGTTTTTTATGTATTATTATTGTCATAGATTCTAGAGTTGTGGCTTCTAAATTCATGGCATATCAAGGCAGTTGTTGAAAGTTCTTCATACTGTTTTATCATAACTAACCTGTGTTCCAAAATTATTCATTTGGGAATATTTTCCCAGCACTGACATCACTATTTAATGGATGGTTGAGGAGGGTGTCAAAAAGTTTTAAAATTATATTAACAACAAAAATAACACAGCAACACACTAATAAGCAAAATCACTGCCAGAGTGTTTCTTAGCTTGAAACAATATAGTTCACATCATTGTCAGAACATGGCAGGTATTTCTGTTTAATCAGTTCACCCTGCCAAGTGGCAAGAGTATATACAGTGTACAATTCAAAAGTCTTAAATCGTGATTGTTTGCAAGTTTTAAAAAATCTGGGGCAACATATATTATTTAACATTTTTCTTATAAAACTTAATATTTTTATATCATACCATTTCTAAATTTATGGCCACAATATACTACATAAACGAATTCTTTGAGTAATTTCTTTCTACCAGAAGTGATCCTTTTATCTTTGTAATTCTAAGGCAATTGTGGCAAATAATTTGTAACATCTATGCTATTGTTTTGAATTGATATTCAAAACTTTTATTCTTGTGTTTTTTGGGCAAAACCATTTTAAGAATTGCTCCTCTAACTCTCTCTCCTCTCCACTGGGTCATTCACATGAGTATAGTCAGTAGTGTGTTGGTAAATGTCTAACATCTGGCTCTCTGTGAGGAAAAAAGGTCTTAAGTTGTAGCAGTTGCCTAATTTCAATACATCCTGGACAATTTCAAGGTGTCAACGTGGAAGAGATGTGTGAAATTGGCTCTCACAGTATGAGCTAACCAACACCAACACACTACTGAGAGTTTTTCAAACTTCATGTCCCAATTCATTAGGGGGTCTTGCAAAAAATTTTAGTGGGTTATAAGCAGTATTTTTTTTTTTTTCTTAATGAAAAGGTAGATTGCGTCACACCTAACAAGACTATTCTTAAATGTAGTTCTTATTTCCGGTCACTGGAAAAATGTCTAAGGCCCAGGTAGGAGGATGGCTTGAGCCCCAGAGTTTGAGTTGCAGTGAGCTGCGATGATGCCACTGCACTCTAGCCTGGGCAACAGAGCGAGCTAAAAAACAAACAAACAAAAAACTAAAAGTCACCGCTATAGTTTTCTTTTCTTTTTAGAAACAAAACCAAACCAAAATCTTCCCTTTACTCCACTGCTTCCTCAACCACACGCTGTTTCTCTGTTCCTCTTCTTTTTTTTTTTTTTTTTTTTTTGAGACAGAGTCTCACTTTGTTGTCCAGGCTAGAGTGAGTGCCGTGGAGTCAGCCTAGCTCACAGCAACCTCAAACTCCTGGGCTTGAGTGATCCTTCTGCCTCAGCCTCCCGAGTAGCTGGGACTACAGGCATGCGCCACCATGCCCAGCTAATTTTTTATATATATATCAGTTGGCCAATTAATCTCTTTCTATTTATAGTAGAGACGGGGTCTCGCTCTTGCTCAGGCTGGTTTTGAACTCCTGACCTTGAGCAATCCGCCCGCCTCGGCCTCCCAAGAGCTAGGATTACAGGCGTGAGCCACAGCGCCCGGCCTTCTGTTCCTCTTCTTAGCAAAATATTTTGAAATATTTATAGTCACTATTTCCTACACACCTACACACGTCCAAAGTGTACACTGGCAAAAGGAGCGCCTCCAAGCCATGCCGGGTTATCTCTCCTGGCCGTCTGGACTCTGACCCGAGGCAGACGAGGAGGCAAACATAGCGGAATAACCTGGCGCTGACCCCTACCCCGGGCGCCCCTGGCAGGCCGGCTAAGGTGCCTCTGGCCGCCACTGGGTCCAGGCGGGGCCTGCGCGGTGTGGACGACGGTCCCGAGGGGTCCAGCCCTCAGCGCCCGCCCTCCGAGACCCGGGCTCGGGGGACTGCGGAACTGTGGGCTGGGCGGAAGCGCACTTGCGGCCGAGGAAAAAGCTTCTTTCTGCTCCTCTCCTTCCCATTTCCTCCCCGGCCCCGCCCCCGCCGTCGGGGAAAGGCGGCCACATCCGCCCTGGACACGCTCTGTCCTCCACACTCTCTGCTCGTCCCGCAGCAAGGCGGTCGCGGTCCAAGTTCCCGGAGACGGTGCAGGAGGCCGAGCTGGGCAGCGATCAGCGGCAGGGCCCTGCCTGAAGCCCCAGCAGAGCCGCGAGGGTCCCTGGGACACAGAAGCAGCGCCCACGGCGGCGCCAGGGAGCGCGAACCGGGAAATGGACGAGAATTGACTCCTGTCACTTCCCGTAGCCGCCCGCGGACGCCTGGGCTGGGAACCCGGACGGCGCTTCGCGGAGGACAAACACCCTCCTGCGCGGAGCTCCCGCAACACTGGTGTCTGGGTAAGTGTGGCGACCCACCGGCCTCGCCAGTGGCGTGGCTGCTCTGATGGTCTTGCCAGCCGAGCAGGGGATTCAGACGTCGCTGTCCCTGAATCACAGTTGGGTAGGACACTGTCCAGTCCATCCCGTCCCGCAGGTCCCCACCGCGGCAGAGCCGGGGCTGAGTCGTGAGGGAGCTGCCTCTGCTGGCTCCGCGGAATGAGGGATTGTTGGGGGTCGTGGCCTTTCTCGGACATCCCTGGCTGGGGTCAGGCTGTTGGCACTAGGGTGTCCCCTCGCTGCAAAACCACATCACCTGGGCTGCTCTCACCTGCTCCCTCCCCGCCCAAGGCCGAGTGCCACCTCCTAGCGGGGGAACCTGGGGAAGTCTCCTTTCCAGAATTTTTAATGACAGTTTAGCCGCAGACCTCCATTGCCCTCCCTGACTCTAGATACGCACTGTAAATAAAATGCCAAGTCATTTGACTGCAGTATTGAACATTAGAAAACTCAAGTCATCCGCCTTCCTTTGGTCGTCAGTAAAACACAAGTGCTGGCTTCCTGAGAAGTATAGGAAATATTCCTGACGGCAGGACCTGTCCCTATGGATACCTCAAGGACTGATTGGTTTAATGAAACCTCTGACTTAATTGGGTCACTTTCTGGTCTTGGTGTAAATTATGAATGTGGCGATTGCAACTCTGTATCCATTCGTTTTGCTCTTGTTAGTGCTTCCTGAATTTCACGGAGCCGAACAAAGAGTTTTGAGGTTTTGACTAACATGTGTGAGTTAATGACACAAACGGGGGGGTATATTTAGTTGGTAAATCAAGAGAAATGCAGGTTTTTTCCCCTTCAATAAGTAAAAAATAATAGATTTCGCCAGTGGGTATTGCTGTACAGAATTGCTAGAAGTAAAATGTAGGAAGCTCTAAGTTTCGATTCTCTTTTAGTTCCGATTAGTCATCAATTTTCCCTGGAGCTATTAAATGTAGTGTGGATGGGTACATTTATCTTTAAAAATGTGGCTGATGCTTTCCAGCTGTCCCACTCTGTGCTTTTTTTTTTTTAAACAACGGAAAACTATTAGTATTAAAAGGATTGGACTTTTTTCCCTTTTGACTGAATTTGGGGGAGGAAGAGCAATCTCTTCTGTTAACAGTAATAATAATAATGATAGCTAATGCGTAGCACTGAACTGTTCCGATGTTTTAACTAATTTAATCCTTAGAACAAACCTATGTTGAGAATTCTATTATTCTCATTTTACAGACAAGAAAAGTTAAGTGAATACCTCTGATAATTGTATAGGACTGTTCAATTAGTATCTGCCATTATTTTATTTTAGTATTTGTAATAATAAATTACATGTTAGAAATTTTGTACTGATTTATTTTCTATTTTCAGTATTTCCTGCACTCATAATCCAAAATTATTGAGTGTGTAAATGTAACGAAGGGAATGGCTTGTCTCTTTAAAACATCCTCCACTCCTTTTTGAGAACTAAAACTTGCATCCCTGTCTCAGGCCAGAGGTTTGGGGAGGCAGGATCAGTCTTTTGTTATTTGTGCTAAAGGAGATGGCCCAGCCCAGACCTGGTAAAGGGAGGTCTTAAGCCCAGTCAGGGGATTGTCTTAAGTGGAGATGGGAGGATCAGAATCACCAACTTTAGCTGAACAGTAATTGCCTGAAGCTGAGAACCCAGCCTTTAAAAGCTCTGTGTTTCTGCTTATTAGGACAAGAGTCTTCATCCTCCTCCTTTTCTGGCAAATAAAATTTCTCTTTTCTTCTTCCCAAAACATTTGTTCTTGTTCTTCTGATGCAGCCTTGAGGACAAGTGGCTGAGCTTTTGGTAACATAGGTACACTAGTAAGAATGGGAGTTAGATCTTTGATTGTAATAACATCCTGTTATTTGGTAAATATCAATAAAATAATGTATAATTTAAACTTAAAAATAGTTGCAATATGAGGGAAAATGATGCATGCTTACTTTACTTTCTCTCTATTTTGACTTTACACAGGGCGAATTCCTCAGTTTCAATCTAGGTAACCTTTAAATGAAACTTGCTGAAAAATCTTAAATCATACACAGAAGAGAGACACCAGTCAATAAAATCAACAATCAGGTGGAAAAGAATGATGTTGTCCTTAAATAATCTACGCACCATCGTCCATAACCCGGTAACTGATTTTTGTGAAATCACTTTTTACCTATGGCAGGATTGAGAGCAAATCCAATTGAATAGTAATTATCCACTGGGAGATGCGGCAGGAATAATATCCAGTAAACATATATAAGGCACCTACTGTGTTGACAATATGGCTCTTGTCTTGTGGAGGAAGAGGTCACAGTGATAATACAAGGTGATGAGAACAATGTTACAAACAGAGAACTTGGGAGTACAGTGAAGGGAATGCCAACTTTGGTGGTAGGGGGAAAGGAGGCTCAGATAATCATAAAACATTTTTAAGGGAAACTGGATTTCTTACTCTATAAGTTTTTCATTTTCTTTTTAAATTAGAACTGTTCACGAGAAGTTAATGTCTCAGTTTTTCAAACAGTGCTTGGTACTTGAGCAGGGAAAATATCAAAAGCCAGTGGCGAGTTGGTGAATGGGAAGAAGTGAGGATCCCGGGTCCAGGCAGGTCCAAGAACCCCTGAATGACTGTAGCTGCTGGAAATTGCTATGTATGTCCTGAGCAGTAAAGAACTTACTTTAGTTTTATGTAGTGGTGAGAATCTTCAGGAATGTCTGATTTCCACTTATCTGAAGCTGAACCCTGAACTTAGGTCTGAGATAGGACAGCTGCTTTTTTTTTTTTTGACAAACCCCAAATTTGGGGCAACAAGGATTGTGAGGGTCTTTGAAGTAAGGCCCTAAACCAGTCTTATTAGTGTGTGTGGATTCAAGTTTTTCTTGTTTACTTTGTAGCTGTAATTCTTTTTTGCCTAAGTTTTAATGTCATTACTCAAGAATGATGCACAACCACAATATTAAGCAAACTCAGTTTTAGAAGAAATAGCCTTTCAGCCATAGTAGGTTTAAAAAGGAAAACTTACTGAATTTGAAGTGAGTGAGACAGTTAAAATGATTTTGTGCATGTTAGAGTTAAAAACATCTCAAGGTTGTGGACTGACTTTCTGTAAAAATTTAAAAAAACCAAACAGGCTGCCTGCTAATGGTGACTGATGTCATCTTGGCTCAAGCCAGGAGGATGGAACAGATGGTCAGGTTACACCATTTTGCCCTTCACACACAAGCATGCCTTATTTAAATGTTATTTAGAAAATAACTTTATAGATTAAAATCCTTGTGTATCTTGATTCTAGTGTTACCGAATTTTACTGGATCCGTTTGCCCCTGCACAATGGAAAACTAAACACCAAAGCGCTGGTTCCTTTGTGGAGAAAAGTTTGTTGCAAGGCTGTTAAGCAAGGGGATAGGAGTCAGGTTCAAATCTGTCTCCTAGAGTGGGGCCTGGAGCAGGTTTTATAGGCAGAGGGTAATGAGGTGTGATCTGATTGGATTTTGCAAAGAGGTGATGCCAAGAGGCATGATCAGACTGGTTCCTGCCATGGGGTGATGCCAAGAGCTCGGTCTGATTGGATCATGGATCATTCCATGTGGTGTCCTCTTCTTAATTCGGTCCTACTCCTTGGTCCGAGCACTTAGGTTCTCCCTGTGGTTGCATGCTTGGTTCATCTGGGCATATTCAGGTTATATAACTTGCAATCTGGGGGTCCGTGGCAACTGAACAACAACTTAGCCTTTTATTACACAAAGTTGAACCAGATTAGGCTGGTTCTTCAGTTACACTAGCATACTATATAATGACTCCTGTAATTTCTGGCATATGCACCCTCAACTGTAAAGTTGGAACAAAAATTAGACTTCATTTCTTGAGGAAGCGGGTCCAGAGAAGTAGTTCTGCTTGAAATCAGGAAGTGCTTTCAGGCCTCTGGAATGGCCTGGTTGCTGGTCTGAGATAGTTCACAATAAAATGTTTCCAAGGGAAATATTCTTTTTGGCAAATAGCTTTTTTGTTTGTTTTTAATTTCTTTGTTTTATGATCAGTTCTCACGAAAGTGTAGAAAAGGTTAGATAGAGGTAGAAAGACCGAATTGAGTGGCAAAACAACATTTTTCCCCATCTTTAAATTTCACTGCAGTTAAATATTCATAGTGTTAGGGGCCCATATTTCACTGACGTTCTTCTCCCGTTTGTAGCTTGTTAGTTGCCATTCCAGTGTTCAACAGACAAAAATAACTTAGCTATTTTAAGTTAATCAATAAAGATATCTAATCTAGGCTTAGAGAAATGATTTTCTTACATCATGGTTATTTTATTCTGTTAGTGATCAGTTCAAACAATAAGTGTTTATTGAGTGTCTATTATATTCTTTATTAGGCATATAAAGACACAGAACTACCACGTTTTAATTTTTATTTCTTTAATGTTTCTAAAAGTTGGTCCACATTGGTAGTAGACTCTATCCACATTAACACTTCTTGGAAAAGATAAATATTATAACTTGTCTATTTTTTTTTATTTAGTATATTTCATTGCCTAGTTCAGCTGATAGAATTCTAAGATTTGTAAAAGTCAGGCTCACTTTTCTTTCCATTCAAACTGAGTGAATAATTTGGAAGACAGTATCTTCACTTTATACCAGAAATGCTGTCAGTGAATTTTGTTTTTCATTACTATGTGTTTTATTTACTGTTGTTGTTTATAGTTCCTAAGATGTGATTAATGCAGGCTGGCTAGGAAGTGATTCAGAAATTGAACAGAACTGGTTGTTACCCCAAGTTTATAAACCATTTGTCAACATTAATCTTACCTGCTGCTAAAAAGCTGGTCATTTTTAATTTGCTTAGGAACCTTGCTTCCACTTTATTCTTCTCTCCATAGTATTTTAAGTACCTCCCTTTCTACCTTCCCTTTCCATCTTACAACATAAAACAATAAAATCATTCTCTCGTAACCTGTAAGGTCCCTTCCAGCCTTTGGGCCATTTTTCTCCCTTTGTTGTCTGCCTGCCTGAGTGAGAGTTGGTTTGTGCTGCCTGGATTTCCACATCAAGGCTCTGCCCTCTCATTTTTTGCTCATTTCTTGGTTGTCTTTACTCGTAAAATCTTGTGTTTAACTTCTCTCTTTCTTTCATGCCTTTACCAATCACCTGTAGATCTGTTGAATATGTGCACAGACAGCTCCGGCCTTCCACCTAGTGTGAATCTCATAGGTGCAAGACCAGGAGTTCAAACCTAAACTTGCCTCTTCCTTCCCGAACCAGCTCCCCTTTTGCAGTTTTCCGTTTCTGTCAGTGTCCTTCTGATGCTCAACTTCTGCCTCCTCCCATGTTACCTAGCACGCAGCAGTTTGAAGATAATCTGTCTTCAAAGTTTAAAACTATGTTTATGGTAAAACCAGTGGCTTGTCCTTTTTTTAACTCTTATTTTGAGCATTTAAAGATAACATGTGCAAATCATTTTTTAAAAATTCAAGCAGTATTTGAGGGTTTTAGTGAAACATAAATTTTCCTTCTATCCTGGTACTCAGCTCTCTTACCAGCTTTTCGTATTTCCTGCCTGAGGTATATTGTGAAAATGTATACTGTGTATGTATTACCTTTATATATCTGTTTTTTTACATGCATATATCATGCTATATAAACTATTTTCTAGAACTCTGCTTTCCCCCACATTTTGGAGATGTTAGTTTATTTAGAACTTCCTCAGTTATCTGAACAGCTGCGTGACGTTCTTTTTCTATTATCCAAATTATCATATTGAGTGGAAGTAGAAATGTTATTTTACAAAATCCTCAGCCAAATAAAAAATATTGTGAGTAGTATTTATCTTGTGACTACTTCCAAAGAACTCAGAGTAGTTTGCAGGCATTACAAATATCCTAGCCATGTTGTTCACTTGTAGCTGTTTGAATAGTGAAGATGACTTGGAAAATGCTAGTTTCTGAGCAGATTTATGTGCAGCCTTTAAACATGTAGTCTTTCCCTATCAATAATGAGTTTGGGTTATAATTGCTTAGCAAATACTTTCATTTGTGTAAATGTACATTTGTTAACATTGTTCTCTCAGGCAATCCCCTATGTTGGCACCATTCCTGAGCAGCTGGAGCCTGGAACTTTGATTGTAATACGCGGGCATGTTCCTAGCGACTCGGACAGGTACAGTCATTGTGCTAGGGGAAAGGACATGAGCGAGCTATCTTGCCATGATTGTGGAACAACAAAAAACAATGTGAGATGGGAGGCCCAGGCGGAGGATTGCTTGAGCTCAGGAGTTCAAGACCACCTTGAGCAAAAACGAGACCCCGTCTCTACCATAAATAGAAATTAGCCAAACTAAAAAAAAAGAGAGAGAAAAAATTAGCCGGGCATGGTGGTGCATGCCTGTAGTCCCAGCTACCCAGGAGGCTGAGGCAGGAGGATCGCTTGAGCCCAGGAGTTTGAGGTTGCTGTGAGCTAGGCTGACGCCACAGTCCTCTAGCCCAGGTAAGAGAGTGAGACTCTGTCTCAACAAACAAACAAACAAACAAACAATGTGGGAGAGACCATTTTGATATTTTGAGGTCTGATTTGCTTTCATCAGCAGCCCTGGCCAAGGTGTTCAGGATATTAGAATGAATGACTGAACAAAAGTGATTGGACATTTTTATTTCTTGCTATATGTCTGATTTCAATATAATGAGTTAGATATGTCATTAAAGAAGGGAATAGTGGTCAGATGACAGGGATAGCCCAGTTATAGTCTAACATTCTCACATCTCTTAAAATCTATTTCAGATTGTTTTACTGAGGGATTGCTTTGGCTTCAAACTCTGGACTGAGGTATATCAGTTAGCAATGGGCTCAGCTCCATGCAGCTAACACCCAAACAATAGCATTTTATTTATTTATTTATATTTATTTATTTATTTTTTTGAGACATAGTCTCACTTTGTCGCCCAGGCTAGAGCGAGTGCCATGGCGTCAGCCTAGCTCACAGCAACCCCAAACTCCTGGGTTCAAGCTATCCTGCTGCCTCAGCCTCCCGAGTAGCTGGGACTACAGGCATGCGCCACCACGCCCGGCTAATTTTTTCTATATGTATTAGTTGGCCAATTAATTTCTTTCTATTTATAGTAGAGACGGGGTCTCACTCTTGCTTAGGCTGGTTTCGAACTCCTGACCTTGAGCAATCTGTCCGCCTCGGCCTCCCAGAGAGTTAGGATTACAGGCGTGAGCCACTGCGCCAGGCCTAACAATAGCATTTTAAATAAGATACGAAAATTAAGTCTCTAGGGGACAGCCCAGAGCTTTGCAGTCAACTTTGTCAAGTCATTAGAGAAGTAGGCTTTTTTCCAGCTTAGCACTTTGCTAACCCTAGGGTGAGCTAAGGTCTTCTTTGTCATGATCCTTGAGAGCTAGATCTCCAGCCCTCACATCTGTGCTTTGGGTGGCTGAATGGGTACATGTGGTGTTTGGGGGTGGACGAAAGGCAGGTGCCTGCTAACTTTTAAGGCAGTTTCCGGTGGTTTTCCTGAGCACTTCACTTCCATTTCATTGGCAGCACTTTAACCACATGAGCAGGCCTAGCTGCAAGGGAGGCTGGGAAAGATAGGTTCTCATTCTGGGCAGATTTGGACCCAGCTCACACTCAGGGGCTCTGTTACTATGGAAGAAGGAAAGGAAGATTAGGCAACTAGCTCTTTTAGGCCACATGGGTGAATGAACAAGAAGGGATTATCAGTCATGTGTCACTCTTCCTGTTGTGTAGTGCTTGCTGCATCCTCCCTTGCGTCCTTCCTTCCTGAGTGCTCATGGGGCCCCCGTTTCTTCCCACACACAGATTCCAGGTGGACTTACAGTGTGGCAGCAGCGTGAAACCTCGAGCCGACGTGGCCTTTCATTTCAATCCTCGTTTCAAAAGGTCCAACTGCATTGTTTGCAACACTCTGAAAAATGAAAAATGGGGATGGGAAGAGATCACCTATGACACGCCTTTCCAAAAGGAAAAATCTTTTGAAATCGTGATTATGGTCCTGAAGGACAAATTCCAGGTAGGTTTTGGAGAATGACAAGTTGACGCCTCATTAGTGAGAATGAGCGTGCACAGGGAACTTTTCACATTTTTGAACTCACTTTATATTTCCTAAATTCAAGAAATAGTTTGGCTTTGTAATTTTTTTCCTCTAAAATAGGAGCAGGCAAGTACCTAAATGTGAGGGGGGTGGGGTCACAGCTACTCTCTCCAGCCAACTGTTGCCATGCAGAAATACAGGTCTAGTGCGACCAGATCTTTTTATTAGATCATATTTCTCCTAGCAGGACTGAGTTCTGAACTGACACAGTATTACGTTAATTATGGAGAGTAAATTATAACCATCGCCACCCGAAGAGTGGGGAAATCTGGAACTAACAGACAGGTGGGGAATCCTAGTGTAGAAATCAGAAGAATTTTGTGAATTTAAGTCTTGCCACAAGGCAGCTCTGAAGGATCATGAGATTTTAGAACCAGAGGGGATCTTGGAAATCCTTTGTGCAGTAAATTCTATCACTGGCTTCAAGGAATGTTTTCCATTCAGCTTTCCCTTCTCTGGTCTTCTGAGCCTTTAGACAAAGATATTATCTATATCTATTTGCCAAATTATTTCTTGAATTTAGGAAATATAAGGTGAGTGTCTATATCTCTGTGTCTATATCTTTCTTTTTAACAGTTGTCCCTCTACTGTTGTGCTTTAGCTTTATCATTTGTTTATTTTGCTCCCCAATGGGACTTTAAGTTCCTTGAGTCACAGACCATATTGTTTGCTGCTTGCGTTATAACCTAACACGGTGCCCAGCATTCGGGAGGCAGGGAAAAGGAGTCACGTATACTGAGCTCCCGTGTGTCAGGCACTGTGCTGAGGATTTGCAGAAGCTACTTTATTGTCATCTCATCACTGTAGCCCATTGAGGTAGAGATTGCACTTACTTACAAATAAGAAAACGGAATCTCAGATAAGTTTGAGAACTTGCCCATGTTTATTCATTTAGCAAATTCAACAAATATTTACTGAGCATCTGCTACTTACGTGGTCTCTCTTAGCGTTTGGTCCCCAAGGACAATGTGGTGGAGATTCTGTAGGGCAGACCTCTAACCTGGCTTCACAGGCCTCCAGGGCACCTTGCAGGGGCTTTGATGGGTGGGGTGGAGGGCTTTGAACCTGGGTGTCTCGCATGTATGCACAGTGCACACATGCATGCATACATATAATTATGAATGCATATGTTTGTCTAGAAGGAAACAGTCCATGGTGCTTAATCAGATCAGGAATTCAAAAGAAGTTAAGAAACACTGCTAGTGTTGCGGTGTTCTTAGTCACAGTGTGGTCAGATGTGTGGAGACCTGTGGGATAAGGTATAAAATTAAACCCAAGGAAACATTTCCATTTGGATAAGTTCATTTATTAACTGTTTTTTTTGGGGTGGCTGTTTTCTGTGTCCATGTAGGTGGCTGTAAATGGAAAACACACTCTACTCTATGCCCACAGGATCAGCCTGGAGAAAGTAGACACTCTGGGCATTTATGGCAAAGTTAATATTCACTCAGTTGGTTTTAGCTTCAGCTCGGTGAGTGTCCATCCACACTTTGGGGTCTTTTTGATGATGTTTTCTCATGAATTGGTAGAAAACATCTTTAATTAACACTAATTTTGAGATAAAATTAATGTAAATATCTCCCTCAATAGACTATTAATTTCTTGGAAGTGAATTTTTTAGACTAGTAGGATGTTATTTATCAACCAGGGATTTACTAGCTATAGGATCTCAAATCTAGTATGGTACTAACAAACAAACACAATTATTAGCTAGGTAGTGGGTATTCCCACTCCCTACGCACAGTGGAGTGTTTCTGTGAGATAGTTTCCTAGATGTGGAATGTCTGAGTCAGAGTGCAGTCATGTGCCGCATGACGACGTTTCTAGTCCTACACGACAGTGGTTCCCTGAGATTGTAATACCGTATTTTTACTGTACCTTTTCTATGTTTAGATGCACAAATCCTGACCATTGTGTTACGATTGCCCATAGTATTAAGTACTAAAACCTGCTGTATAGGTTTGCAGCAATAGGCTATGCTGTGTCGGTTTGTGCAAGCAACTCTATGATGTGTGTCCAGCAATGAAATCGCCCGACGCTGCATTTCTCAGAGTGTGTCCCTTTGTGAAGCGATGCGAGACTGTTTTGCATTTTAAGTTTTAACAGATACTGCCAACTTGCCCTCCAAAAAGATGAAAACAGTTTGCAGTCTCAGCAGCTGAGTCTGTTCGCTCACTTTCTTGTTGCCATTAGAGCTTATTCTCTTTAATATTTGCCCATTAGGTAGGGGGCAAAGGACCCAGTGTGTAGTGCATTTTTGGATCCTAATTTTCAAGCATATTTTCATGTTTAGTACCATTAATAATTTTTTGATATGTCAAGTAGGTTAGATTTAGAAAAGATATTCTGATGGATGTTCAAAATTAATTTTTATTATCTTTTCTTCAGGATTTACAAAGTACCCAACCATTTACCGTGGAACTGACAGAGATAAGTAAAGAAAATGTAAATATTCAATCTTTTAATAAACCACCAGTTTTCAAATGTTTTCTTGGTTGTCATGCAAGTCAGGTGGCAGGAAGGCTACTTTGTAAAAAAATTATGTTTTACTATGAGGCTAGGATGGAAGTAATCGTTTGAAAATTGAGGCATATACTTCTTAAGGTGCCTGGCACTTGATAAGTTTTTGCTGCTGCTTAACCTGTCAGTTTCTGTCACCACTACTCACCATTCTTGTGTAAATGAGCTGCCTCACTCTGAACTGGTGACTAGCACTGTCAGGAAGTATTTATAAATATAGAACATCAGTCAGTGCATTGGCCATGAGCTTCCACGTGTATCTTCTCCCCCTGTGGGAAGAAGTGCAGTTTACAAATTGCATCTTTGCTATTACTAATGGAGAAAGTGAAGACTTACTGATCTCAGCACGTTTATATTCACAGGTAGAATATAATCTCAGCACTCTGGGGCTACCCTGGAAAGGACAAGTAAGATGTGTTTGAGTTCACATGTCATCCTATGAAAAATCATTTGTTTATGGTGGAGGATTTAAATGAACAGGACAGTCAGACTCTATTCTCAACCTGAATAGCCCTTTACAAGCCCACACAGCCCTGTCTTAAAGCACTGGCTGCCTGTGCGTCACACCCAGCGCAGGGCAGGCGCTAAATTCCACGCTCTGGCCGGGCTCAGATCATTAAAGCCACAGAGTCAAATTGCTCCTATTATAAAATGTAATTCTTCCCTTCTGAACATTCTCATACTTTCTTTCTATTCCAATGGGTATAAAAGTCTGTTATGCCACAGTTTTGGAGTATTTTTGTCTGAGTTATTACATGTGGAACATTTTATAAAACTGCCTAGAAAATGAACAGTTTAGACATTGGCAGGCAGCTTCACTCCTTCCCTACCTTACTGTAGAACTGTTTCCCCTACAGCCTAGTATTAGAGGAGACTTTTCTAAAATCGTACCCAGAGCTGTCTGCACCAAGAGCAAAGATTCGACTGTCAGTCACACTTTGACTTGCACCAAAATACTACCTGCCAACTCTTTGTTAAAGGTTTGAAGAGCCCCAAATTTTCTTAACTCTGTATAAAAGTTAAGTTATTGTTAGCTGTTGTGTAATCTCGGACCCCTTTGAGCCCAGAGCTGCCACTGTCACTCTGCGTTTGTGCACTGTTCCTGGACAGACGTGGGAGTGCACCAGGCATGTGTCTGTGAGCCGGTCATGTGCATTTCCTCAACTCCCCCGCGTGGCTGCTTCCCCTTGAAGCAGGACACAGCCCTGCACCAGCCCCCAGGACAGGTGGCTTTCCTAGAGTGAGTTCACTCACATAGAGGGTATCAGGTCCTACCCCACGTCCACGCATTTTGTCATCTAACACACAGTCATTGAGTGTTTGACATGAGCCAGGCACCATGCTGCTGCAGGGGACCCCGGTGGGACCAGGGCAGACTTAATCTGTCCCTTCAATGGGGTTTACAGGGCCATTACTCTTAAACATGCCCTATGTTCTTTGGACACGAGTTTTCCCATAAGTTCCCTTTCTACAGGCCTCCAAGTCCTGACTCTGGCTTCTTTTCAGACCCTGCCATTCATCGCAAGGTTGAACTCCCCCATGGGCCCTGGACGAACTGTCGTCATCAAAGCAGAAGTGAATACAACTGCCAAAGGGTCAGTAACCTTAAGTTGCCAGAAACAGTGTGAATACTTGCCACGTAGGCCTGTTATGGCCTTACACCTGTAACCATCTCATGAGCTAAAAGTAGGGCTAGTGTCATAATCCTCATTTGCAAGGTGAAAATATTAAAGCATGAGGTTACACTGCTGACAACTAGTTGGTGGCAGAGCCAAGGCTAAAGTCCAGTGTTTTGACCTCAGCTTTTTCTGGCCAGGCAATAGAGCAGCATTTTTGTCCACAAGGCCCGCCCTTGCCTTGTAGAACCCCAGGGTAGTCCCTTAGATCAATTTTTAGGGCCCTTTCTGTCATGACTTGGAAAATTTCTGCATTAAGAACGTTTTCCAGAAATGTCCAGACTTCTGACAGCTTGAAGTTAGAGCTTTTTCCTAGAAAGTAGCATACTTTCAAGAAGGAAAGAACACATGATTTAGAGACTATACCTGCTTGAAAGGATCCCAGATTCCTGTAGCCTGAAATAATTATTCGGTTTATTTTTATTTATTTATTTTTTTAGACAGAGTCTTGCTCTGTCGCCCGGGCGAGAGTACTGTGGCGTCAGCCTAGCTCACAGCAACCTCAAACTCTTGGGCTCAAGCAATCCTGTTGCCTCAGCCTCCCAAGTAGCTGGGACTACAGGCATGCACCACCATGCCCGGCTAATTTTTCTTTATATTTTTAGTTGGCCAATTAATTTCTATTTTTAGTAGAGACGGGGTCTCACTCTTGCTCAGGCTAGTTTTGAACTCCCGTCCTTGAGCAATCCTCCTGCCTCAGCCTCCCAGAGTGCTAGGATTACAGGCAAGAGCCACCACGCCTAGCCAGCTGTATTCGGTTTATTTTTGCTAAGCCTTCAATTTCTGCTCAACCAGATCCCAACCTCAACTTTGATTTTAAAGTCTTTTTGTATTTTTATTGTGCAAATATTAGTGGAATGCTGACTCAGTTTAAAATTTCACCTTATCTGCATTCCCATGTCCATGTGTATGTTTCATGTAGTTATACTCATAGTTCAAGTCTGGTTATTAAAATTGCAGAAACTACTACTTATCTCTCCTACTTGGTTAAAGTGTTTTCTGTTTTCTCTCAAAGCTTTAATGTTGATCTACTAGCAGGAAAATCAAAGGATATTGCTCTACACTTGAACCCACGCCTGAATGCCAAAGCATTTGTAAGAAATTCTTTTCTTCAGGAGTCCTGGGGAGAAGAAGAGAGAAATATTACCTGTTTCCCATTTAGTCCTGGGATGTACTTTGAGGTGAGATTACAGTTTTTGAAAATGGGACAGGAGAAAGAACCCTGGGGCAGGATATGTGGTACATTTAAATCCAGGCCTCACTTAACATGTGGACATTGTGTGTGGGTTTTTTTGTTTGTTTACCTGGAGATTGTAATTTCAACGCCCCCTTTCATAACGTAGGCCATCGTTATAAATGGAAGAGCCAGTATACTGTATCATTTGCATTGGGATTATTTGACATTTGTCATTGATGAATAGGAACTTTTTTTTTGTGCAAGCCCATTGCTTGGTAAGATTAGTAATTTTAGTAATTAGGAATTTTAACAGAAACCTGTCTCAGGACTGGAGTCACATGTTTAACCCTAAATGGACTTGAGGACATAGGAACCCTAAAACTGCTTGTTTGCATGGCCCATCATCCCTACTCTTGCTAGACAGTTTCAGGTGACAGTCCTTTCTTCCTGTTTGCATGTATTCAAGGAAAAATCCATTAGTCCCTTGGAACTAAAAGGCATGTAGTCCTGAGTCCCCTAATATGTGAATATTATGATAACACAGACCTTTCCCGAAATATGTGTCTGTGATGCTGAGCAGAGCTGAATACCTTGAGATCTGGATGCTGGGTGATTGGCTAGGCTTACTCACTAGCTTAAGTGACTCTGCCTCCCTGGTCACTTAGGGCCATTGATTTAGGTCATACTTCTATAATGTTTTAAACTGCCACATCCTCTGGACCATTTGAGTTCACAAGGACTTATCATGCTATTTGTTCAAAGCATAAACATCAAAGCTGAATAGAAGATGGCGATTTGACATTAATATTTATTGTTTAGTTCCAGTCTAGTGCAGTGCCCTGGTATGTGGAGTTTAGACAGATGTGGGGTAATCACAGAAGTTCCTTGGAAGCTGTGGATACTGGTTTGGAATTCAGAATGCTGGGAAGGCTGTAGAAGGATGAAGGTTGGTTCTCCAGATTTAGGGTATGATTTGAACAAGTCACCGCAGTGGGAAGGGCAGCACAGGGTTGTTGGCTTGGCAGGAGTCAGGGGATAAAGGGTGTCTTGGGCCCACTGGAGGGAAAAAGAGGTGAGCATTCTAGAAGGAAGCTGATCCCTGTGGCTGGTGACAGGAAGCCAGTGATGTAACTTGGTTTTGACCTATTTGGGCCCTAAGCTTGGATCTATTAAAAGTAAAAAGGAAAATAATAATAAATTCAAATAATACTGAAAAATAATTAAGATGAAAATTAAAATATCCCAAACTTCTTAATTCAAACAATATCATTAGGATTAGGTGAACCACATTGTAGACATTTTTCTGTACATATAGAGTGAACAGGATGGCTGGCTGAAGGGATGAATAGATGTATCTTGTATCTTTTTAACAACCATCTTTTCTGTTTGTTAGTTTTCGACTTCAGTAATCATCCTCACGTTGATCATTGTTGTCAATTTTCCATACTGATAGATGCTTTCTAATTGCTTCTAACTCTTACCTTTTTAATATGCCTTCATTGAGATTATCTCAGATATTTCCATTATGCCACTGTTTTCATTTTAAATGTTATCTTCTTGCTGTTTCAGATTTACTTATTAATGATACATACTACAGTCTTTTAAAAAAATCTCATTCAGTATTGTCATTTCATCTGGGAGTTCTTTTTCGTGAAATTTATTTTCTTACCAGCTGTGTTCTGCGAGTTCTTCTTTTTAGTGAAATTTATTTTCTTACCAGCTGTTCTACCATGTTTCCCTGAAAATAAGACGGGGTTTTATATTTATTTTTCCTCAAGAAGACACCCTACGGCTTATTTTCAGGGAATGTGGTTTTTTTTTTTTTTTTTAAGTACGGTACAACAATCTACATTTATTCAAATATAGTTAAGTCGTCTTCTGGAACATCATCATGACTCTCCAAACCCTGAATTCCATCCTGAATTTCTTGTGACTCTATTTCCTTTAGAACCATTAGCCCCAATCTCTTATGTCGAGCAATAGCGCTCTCATGGGGCAGATGAGAAGGGCTGCTCGTCTTCTTTACCGCTCTGCCACGAAATGCATGGGTTGTGCAGATACACTGCGTAGCCACAGCCATCACTAGGTCTTATTTTGGGGGTAGGGCTTATACTGCGCAAACGCTTAGAAATCCTGCTAGGGCTTATTTTATGGGTAGGTCTTATTTTCGGGGAAACACGGTATAACATCAGATGGTTGTGAGGGATTCTGTTGTTCCATGTTTTCTTCCAGGGGTTTTTATATGTGATACACCTTCTTGTGTTGCGGTAGTGTGCTCACCTGGGTGTGTGTCATGTCTTTCCCACTTGTAATTCGCTGGCTCTGTGCTTGCCCTGATTCGATATAGGTAACTAACTGACTCCCTCTGGTGCCGACTTGTTTTTCCTTCTGAGCTATTGCATGGGGCTGTGTTTTCTCGGGATTTTGCTAAATGTACATTACACAAGGTTCCTTTCACCTTGTTGAAACTGGGATTTCCACCATTCTCTCCTGGGGATATAATGTCAGGTTATGGATATTTCCCAAATTCTCTCTGCAGACCCAGAGCCTTCATTTTGTATGATCCACAGAATGTCCCCTTCTTCCTGATTTTCCTTGGCAGCAATTTCCACAGCTCCTATCAAAAGAATAAGGACCCTCAGTTTGCTTCTTTGCGGATTAAGATTTCATGCCTCAGTCTGGCCTCTGGGGATGGGGCCGGTTAGCAAAGCTGCTAATCTTCTCTGCTTTGTGCTGCCTGTCTCCGCTTTCTTCTGAAGCATTCACAAGGGCAAGGGGCAGGCAGGGCACAGCGCAGGGCCACCAGACTGGCCCTCTCAGGATGGGTGGAATCCAGCCTGGCACTGGGAGCTTGGTATCACCAGGGTGGAGTGTAGTTGTAAAGGTGATGAGAAAGGGTAACAGGTTTTTGTCTTGAGTTTTGAGCAAAGGCAGCTCTGAAGGGCTAACACTAGTGATGAACCTGACCTGGATCTGCCAGAATGCTAAGAAATTACTCCTTAGTAATTTCCTTCCTAAATTCCTTACAATCCTTACTCGTAAGATGCCTAGCTTCGAAGAGTTTTAGAGAAACAGACTGAGGCCAAGACGTGTTGAGCTGGATGGAATCAGGACCAGCAAGCAGCCATGCAATCCCTAGCAAGTGCCTTAAAGCTTCTGAAATTTCATATTAGTTGTCTGATTTACCCAAGACCCTCAAGTCTGAAGCAGAAAAGTCCTTTGGTTCCCAATCTGCTCATTGGAATCAGAATCTCAGTGAATGCAGGTCAAGATAGCAGCAGTTTTCTGCCTTACAGGATGGGGCTGAGGGAGGGGAGTGTCCTGAGGAAAGGAAGGTGAGAGGCTTCAAGCACATGTCAGAGTAACTTCCCTGAGACAAGGCAGAAGGTGCCACTAGGGTATTAGAAATTACAGAAGGAAGTCAACAGCAGCAAGCCAAGGGAGCTTCTCTGTGTATAAAGCAAACCAAATGGTTTACTCTGACACTCTGTTAGTGTGCAACTAATTTTTTAAAAACTAAAAAAAATTCTAAACTAAGGGGAACCACTAATGGTATGTTTCCTTTCCTTTCAGATGATAATTTATTGTGATGTTAGAGAATTCAAAGTTGCAATAAATGGTGTACACAGCCTGGAATACAAGCACAGGTTTAAAGAGCTCAGCAGCATTGACACGCTGGAAATTAATGGGGACATCCACTTACTGGAAGTGAGGAGCTGGTAGCTGACCTGACTGCTGCAAAACCTGAAATACAAAATGGCTTCTGTGGTACTGGCCTTGTCCAAATGCATCTCACTGTCTCTATATTGTTAAAATGAGCTTGCAAAACAGCAAGTCCTACTGGGTGTTCTCGGTCCTTGCCATGCGGTGTGGCTACGTCTGGCACTGAATGAGGAAATTTGAGGTCACTCTGCTTTCACCTGATTTTGCCTCTTCTTTTAAAAATCATATTCAACAAGTATTTATGAAGTACCTGCTATCATACAGTAGCTAACATGGACTGAGCACGTATTTTTTGTTGGCACTGTGCTAGGAGCTGGGATACACGCATCCTGGTGCCAAAAGCCAGTCTGTTCTGTATTCTCTTGAGCGGAGACTCTCCGAGCCCTACCACTGTGCACCATTTTTCTACAGGCCTTGTACTAACTCGTTAGGCGTTCTTTGGGATTAAACAGTTATGTAGCCGTTAAACCACCTAGACACTAATCTGTACAAGACACTACTCCTTCCCCACTGACTGCTTTCATAACCAGTGCTCTGTCGGGTCCTATAATTTGAGCGGACTGATGTTGATTTACACCTGGCAATTAATTTTCTTTAGCATGATAGATCTAGCTCTACCAGCTGTAAGCTCTAACAAATAATTAATATGGCCGGGCGCGGTGGCTCACGCCTGTAATCCTAGCACTCTGGGAGGCCCAGGCGGGCGGATTGCTCCAGGTCAGGAGTTCAAAACCAACCTGAGCAAGAGCGAGACCCTGTCTCTACTATAAATAGAAAGAAATTAATTAGCCAACTGATATATATAGAAAAAATTAGATGGGCATGGTGGCGCATGCCTGTAGTCCCAGCTACTCGGGAGGCTGAGGGAGGAGGATTGCTTGAGCCCAGGAGTTTGAGGTTGCTGTGAGCTAGGCTGACGCCAAGGCACTCACTCTAGCCTGGAAAGCGAGCCTGTCTCAACAACAAAACAACAACAACAACAAATAATTAACATGACATCTGAACAGAGCACAGAAATGAAGGCAAAAAACCAAAACCAAACAAAAAACAAATGGTGTTGAAATTAACTTGATGTCAAGCTCAAGGCAGCTGATTTCTGCATATTTGAACATAGGGTAACAGAGGGTGAGTCAGAGGTCTATAGAGACTCCTACAGAAGTTTAAGGTAGAGGGAAGATGCACTTAATTTGTAAGACATTTGTGGGTAACAGTAATGTCAAGATTAGAATTAAGGAATTCATAAAATAGGCACTATCAGAAAGTAACATATATCACTGAGAGACCCACGAAGTAGGTAGGGAGGTAACCTATTCTGTTGTTGAAGTGTAAACCACCACTTGTCGCTGCTCCTCTAAAGACTAGTCCGTCATCATTAGCAACTGAGATCAAACATTGTTATCTTTTAAGCAATTAAAATCAAACCTGTATCAGCAAGTTAAATCGTTGCATTATTGTAATTTTTCTATTATTTGAAGGGAGTTAGCAGAAGTTCTATGTAGAATCTATAAATCACATCTTGTAACAGGAAATTTCAAAGGTCTGGGAGTGGGGAGGGAAAAAAAAAGCTAAATCAGGCCCCGGGTAGTGGCTCACGCCTATAATCGTATTCCTCTGAGAGGCTGAGGCAGGATGATAGCTTGAGGTCAGGAGTTTGAGACACCCCCCTCTACTAAAAAAATAGAAAAATTAGCTGGGCAACTAAAAATAGAAAAAATTAGCCAGGAGTGGCCCAGCTATTCGGGAGGCTAAGGCAGTAGGATTGCTTGAGCCCAGGAGTTTGAGGTTGCTGTGAGCTAGGTTGATGCCATGCACTCTAGCCCAGGAGTGAGACTCTGTCTCCAAAAAAAAAAAAAAAAGCTAAATCAGTTAGATCATTATCACATTAAACTGCTAGGCAGAATTGTCAGGATTAGGAATATTTCCATAACCGATTTTGGTTAGATATTATTTCTGTCCACACATTGAAAAGAATGCTATTAATAATCTTATTTTTAAAAAAGTTCTCAGTGTAGAAACTGTTAGCCCTTAATTCTTTTCCAGCTTTTCATGTTAATTTATCATGCAGTCTCGCCAACTCCAAAAAACACTGGGGGCCAGGAAGGCAGGGTCAGTTATAGAGGCAAGAAGGCTCTTGAATCACCCCCAGTTATTTTTTCTTCAGAAAGAACATCAGAGTGCATGCATGGCTGAGATCTTGGAGACTGTAAGGCATTTAGGGAAAAAAAAGCCCACCAACATTGTTTCTCTAAATCTTAAAAAGTTCATTTTCATTTCACATGGAAACAAAATATTAAGACTGATTCTTTGACAGAATAAATGCAAAAATCTTACGATTTTTGTTGAGATATTTCTTAAAGAGAAATAATCATTTCTAACAAGGTACATTTCTACATTGCAAGCTGGCTTTTTATTTGTCACAATCCCATACCAAATTTCTATATTACATTAGATCAAAGGCTTTGAAACTCAATGTGAACATTCTATAGGACAATTCTTAGATGCCTTTAAAGATAAAGGCAGATTTTTTTTTTTTTTTTAATTTGAGGCCTCGCCAGCTTCACCATGACATAGCACTAGAGATTAGAGCACTTCAAAGTACTGGAAAAAAATCTGATACTTACTTTCTTAAACAAGTAATTCTTTGGTAACTACCAGTGAAATTATGATCGCTTGTGATCCTGGAGGGGCTCCCTCATGCCACCTAGCGTTTCTGGGCCCTGTTGTGTGATAGGCCAGTGTGGGTAGTTTTATAAGCAGCATACTCAGCCCTGATCCCCCCCCAAAGATTCAAGAATAAAGGAGACAATCATAGTTTCAACTAAAAAATGCATTCCAGAACTGCTTCCTGTCACGGGCATGCACAATGAAATCAAAGCTAAAGTGTCTTCTACTTAAAATGAAAAGTAAAAATCCCAAATGGCTTTGCAGTCAAAAGTATTCCTGTTGAATGCTAAATAACATGTACTTGAAGTAGAGTGTTATTCTGAGTGAAATCTCCAACATGGATACCATGTACATAAGACATTGCTACATGTAAGAGTTAAGCCTTTATAGTCCAAATGAGGTATCAGCTTTAGGTGCTAAAATTAAACATGTCTATTATTAATATCAATCAGAAACACTATCACAAATGTTTAGGCAAACACAGTAGTCTGTATAAAAATACCATGTATCATTTACTGTTTCTGCAACTATACAACTGGCAGGAGAGGCTTATGTGGTAGCACAAACCAGGTGGGAATTTTGTAAAGAAGTGACAAAATATGTATAAGTAGTCCGAGTAAGTGTTAAGGCACCAAAAGTAACATGGCACCCAACACCCAAAAGTAAAAATATGAAAAATAAATCTGAACTCTGAGCAGAGTATGACAGATCAAAAAGTTTTAGAAGTAGCTCTGGAGTGGCTCCCCCAGTATAGCTTCCAGTTGCTGAATCGTCTTTTGGCATTGATGTTCTACTTCTTCACATTCATCTAAAAAAAAAAAAAAAAATCAAAATTAAAATCTGAGTCAATCTTCCTGCCCCAGTTATCATTAGCCTAATTTTTAATGCCTTGCACTCTGTGGCAGTCATTCAATCAAAAGAGTGAAATGAGGTCGAGCACCATGGAATACTCTCCTCTGCGGTCCTCCTTCCACCTTCACTCCCTCCTTACAGGCTGAAACTTAGAAGCAGAATGAGATAAAATCCCCCCCAAACAGTGGTCACAACTCAAAATCCTTAGGGATGCCACTCCTTTGGTAGCTTACACAGCCCTTCTCCAGGAGGTGAGAAACAAAGGAGAATGTGCTTCTTAGGTTTACATAAGCAATGAATCATTAGTATAAAAGTGCTGGTCCACTTGCTCCACCATCCCTGCCTATATTACATTTACAGTTATTTCTTGGGACATCTGGTGGTATGATGTTTAAAAGTGTATGTTCTAAACTGTACAAACCTTGCTGTCTAGACTACCACTCCCTCTGTTACGCTTACTAGTTCTGTCACCTTTATCAAGTAATTGAAACCTTTTAGGCCTCTAGTTTCTTCCTTTGTAAAACAGGGATAATGGCATATACCCTATTGTGAGGATTAAATGAGATAATCCATGTACATCACCTAACATCAAGTACCAAGTAAATAGTCATTATTCAAAGTGGACATCCTACTACATCCTTAATAGCACTAGACACTTCTGTACAATAGCCCCACATCTGAGGACCAAAATATTCAATCATATAAATGTATGAGGTTAATTTAAAACATTATTGTAATCTGTATGATTACAAGGAGAAAAAGCACAAAAGTAAAGACAGTGAAGATTACACTGTAAACAGAGTCTCAAATGATCAAAAGATGATCACTTCCTAACTCACCACTCCCTCACCCTACTCAGAACAGGGACTTGAGCCTGCCTGCATTTGAGACTGGGAGCAGCAGGGCATAAGACTGGATCAACTGCTAATCCCCTTGTGTCCAAATATGCATTATCATTGGGCACATTTTCACAGAATTTTACTGTTATTATTTCTTAATAGTTTAATAGTTTAGGAATTACCTTCCATCAATTCTGCTAAGAAAGGAATAGACTCTGGTAGCAAGACGATATAATTCTCCTTTAGTTTTTCAGCCAGCGCTAATATGGTAATCAAAGCAGCAAATCGAACCTGAAAGGGATAAAAGAATCAAGAATAGGCCGGGCGCTGTGGCTCACGCCTGTAATCCTAGCTCTTGGGAGGCCGAGGCGGGCGGATTGCTCAAGGTCAGGAGTTCAAAACCAGCCTGAGCAAGAGCGAGACCCCGTCTCTACTATAAATAGAAAGAAATTAATTGGCCAACTGATATATATATATAAAATTAGCCGGGCATGGTGGCGCGTGCCTGTAGTCCCAGCTACCCGGGAGGCTGAGGCAGAAGGATCACTCGAGCACAGGAGTTTGAGGTTGCTGTGAGCTAGGACGCCACGGCACTCACTCTAGCCTGGGCAACAAAGCGAGACTCTGTCTCAAAAAAAAAAAAAAAAAAAAAAAAAAAAAAAA